TGGGTGGGCGCCACGCCGCACCTGCGCAACCTCGCCGTGGCCATGTGCAGCCGCTTCGTGAGTGCGCGGCCTCGGGCTGCGGGCGGGCCTGGGCGCGCCGAGGGGCCTGGGGCGCCCTCCCGAGCCGCTCTGCAGAGCACCAGGTGTAGCCTGGGCCTTTGGAGCTCTACCTGCGGGGAGACCGCGACCCTCCCGGAGGTGGTGGGTGCAGCCGGGCATGCACGTGGGCCCCCAGCCGCCCCGACCCCGCTCTGTGTCCTCTGTCTGGATCCCTCCTCTTCGGTCCCCGGGTTGGAATTCTCGGGGCCCTCTGGTTTCCCTCGGGCCCGAGGAGATGCTGTCTGTGTCCCAATTTTCCTGCTGCCCGGATTTTGACCGCCCCGACGATCAGACAGCTTCTTCCTTAGCCCGGCTCCCAGTGGGACGTCCTCTCGGTGTGCAGGACCGGACTCTGGGTTCCTCTTTCTTCCACCTCCCTGTAGGCCCTGCTCGCAGGCTTGCACCCGGGGATCCAGCCCTCACCTCGCCACCCTGGCCCTCGCCGTCATCTCCCCCTGCCTTCCCCTTGGCTGTCTGGGTTAGTTTTGTAGGAGCGCTGGAACTAAGAGCCACACATCGGGTGGCTAAAACAGCGCAGAGCCTATGCTGTCACGAGTGGGAACATGTGATAGAGAAACCCCCTGCCTCTGGCCCACCTCCTGGATGGTCGCAGGCGATCCTTGGCTTATGCCCGCATTCATGCAGTCTCACCTGCATCATCTCATGGCTGGCTGCTCCCTGAGTGTCTGTCCCTGCATCTTATCTCTTAGGACATTGTAGCAGGCATTGAGGACACACTCTACCCCAGTAAGACCTCACCATTTTTTTTTTTAAGAGAGATTTTTTTTCAAGAATTATTTAATTTTATTTATTACGATTTGTCTTTAGTTTGATCAGAGATAGAAAGAGAGAGAATGGGAAAGTGAGAAAGCGAGCCGCCCGGTCTGGGACTTGAATCATGATCAGCTATGTGGGAGTCCAGCGCCTTTTACCACCATGCCACCTGCCAGCCCCTTTAGAGAGATTTTTGCTGTAGGGCACGTTTTTTTGCCAGAGAGACAGAAATCGAGAAATCACTCCCAGGGGAGTTGACCACGCCATAGTCCCTTCTCCCGTCTCCTCTTGGGACCTTGGGCATGCACTCATGTGCCTGGCATAAGCTAAGCCGCCAGGTCCAGGACTCAAACCACAGTGGACTACATGGGAGTCCAGGGACATAACCGTCCTGCCATCTGCTGGTCCCAAATGCTGTCATTCTTGTCTTGGGTTTTTTGACCTGTCTTTTGTAAGCCTGAACAAATTGGTCTTGTGTGGTGGTGACTTTACACCCCAGGAGACAAGGCGCAGTCCCTGAGGTCCAGCACCTAGTGGACGAGTGTCCAGGTCACTGTCTCCTTCTGGATGGGCACGGGGCGGGGATGGGGACACCAGACTCCAGAACTTTCCTCTTTCTAAATACCCTTGCCCTTCCCAAGACTCCCAGACTTCTGGACCTAGGCTGTTTCTCCTAGAAGTTGCGATTTTGATAGAAGTAATTTTGCCCATAGTGCAAGTTAGTGGCTTTTTTCCTTTTAAGCTAGGCCTTACACACACACACACAAACACACACACAAAACCAGTGGGTGGCATAGTGGTTAAGGCCCTGGATTCCTATGTAGTTGACCATGGTTCCAGTCCTGGACCTGATGGCTTGAAACTCATGCCAGGCATGTGTGTGTGTGTGTGTGTGTGTGTGTGCGCGTGCCCAAAATCCCGAGAGAGGAATGGCTCTCATGTGGCCATCCTTCCTTGGGGGGGCGACTGCTCACTTTCTGTCTCTCTGTCTCTGTCTCTCTAGTGGTGCAATGTGCCCTATAGCAAAATTCTCTCTCTCAAAAAAAAAATGTATGTATGTATGTTTTTTTTTAAGACCTACTTATTTAATTTTTAATTTTAATTTTTTCTTTTTTCTTGTTTTAATTTTTAGTTTTGCTGCAGGGCATGTGTGCCCACGAGAGAGAGACACAGAGAGAGAGAGAGGGAAAATGAGAAAGTTGGCAGGTCTGGGATGTGAACTATGGTTGACCATGTGAGAGTTTAGTGCCTTAACCACCATACCACTTGTCCCTAAAAAAACATATTTTAAAGTCTATTTCTTTCTTCCATGAGAGACAGAGAGCGGGAGAGAGACAGAGATAGCACCCCCAATAGGATCTCCATGCTGTGAGCCAACCCTAGCCCTAGCCAGCCCTGGATTAGAGGCACGTGCATGCCGATGTACTGAGGGAGGTCTCCAGACATGAACCCGGCACCTCGTCTTGTCGGTCAGCTGTGCAGATGTCATGTTTTTTCCCCGGGGGGGATGGCCACACCATAGTCCCTTCTCTTCCATTCTCCTCTCAGGATTTTGGGTGCGCACACACATGTGCATGGCATGATTTTCAAGCTGCTGGGTTTGTGACTTGAACCACAGTCAGCCATGTGGGAGTCAGCACCTTAACCACGATGCCACCAGCTGGCCCCCTGAGCTAGGCCTTATGGGGAGAGAGATTACCTCTAAAGTAATTGGGAGTAAGGGTCCCTCCAGATTTCAGAAGGGCCCTGTTTATTTCTTTCACGGCTGGTTTTTTTTTTTGGAGAGGTTTTTGCTATTAGGTGTGTGCGCTCGCCAGAAAGACAGAGACAGACAGAGAGACAGAAAGCGAGAAATCACCCCCCAGGGGGATGTCCACGCCACAATCCCTTCTCCTCCATTCTCCTCTCGGGATCTTGGACATGCACGCACAAGCACCCGGTGTGAGTTTAAGCCACCAGGTCCGGGACTCAAACCGTGGTCGACTACATGGGAGTTCAGCGACATAGCCATTAGGCTAACTGCTGGTCCCTCTCACTGCTGCTTTTATTGCTTCTTATCTGAAAGGAGATTGGGCACGTGTTTTCAGAAGTTTCTATTTTCTCTGTTTGGATGCTGGTGGCTGGTGGCCTTTCTCAAGGTCACAGGGCACTTACTGACCTTGCAGAGCCCAGATGGGCCCTCTAGGGACGGAGCTGTGATGCAGTTGACAGCTGCTGGGGGCAGCAGGCCAGGGGCATGGGGCGCCCGGACTCTGCAGTTTGCTCTCTGACCTTACTGACCTCGTCGGCTTTGCTCATGGTTATAGGGGAGCATGCGTTGGCGTTTTGACACAAAGCCACCCTTTACACGAAGCCTGCCCTGGAACGGGTTGACGACTGTGGCTCATGCCGCAGGTGACGTTGCTTGCCTGTCCCAGCTCTGGTGTTCTCGTGTGGTCTGTCGGCAGTCGCCGCTCGCTGTCCCGGTGTCTGCCCTCTCAGACCTGCCGCCACCACCTGGTGGAGTCTTGGAAGCCGGGCACTCTGGCTGCCCGCTGCCAGGCCGAGAAACCACCCAGCGCCCTGTGCTTCTCTTTTAGGACCCCATCCCTGTGTCCACCTCCCTCCTCGGAGACACTTCCGACACGACGTCCACCGGCCTTGCCCAGCGCCTAGGTACGTACCCACAGCCGGGGCTGCAAGGCCAGGGGCCTGGCTGCTTTCTGGGCCGCTGAGGCCGGCCTCCCCAGGGGAGGGCTCTTAGGCTGAGGCTGATCACGACTGCTGCGTGGCAGCAGGGCTTGGGACTTGAACCGCCGTCAGCCATGTGGGAGTCATCAGTACCTTAACCACGATGCCACCAGCTGGTCCCCTGAGCTATGCCTTATGGGGAGAGAGATTACCTCTAAAGTACTTGGGAGTAAGAGTCCCTCCCAGTCCAGGAGACCCCCTTCGCACGTGGGTCTCCTGTAAGGGTGCCGTGGGCTCCCCTGTCACCGCTGTTTCAGGGCCAGCATGTCCCTCAGGGACTCCCATGTTGAGTTCGCTTCATCTTTGAGTCGACGAGCCAGTTCAGTCTCCTCTCTTAAGTGCCTCACCTCCTGTTGGGAGGAGAGTGAGTGGTGCCCTGCGTGCCCCATGGGCAGTGGCTTGGGTAGCCTTTAGGAGCAGGTGTCACTACTGTGAAGGAGGGACCAGGATTTTTTTTCCTCTCTTATTCTCTCTCTTTTCTTTTTTAAAAGGCTTTTGCCATAGGGTACGTGTGCTTGCTAGAGAGAGACAGAGAAACATCCCCTAGTGGGGATGGCCACATTGTAATTCCTTTTCCTCCATTCTCCTGGAATTTTGGGTACATATGCACATGCACCTGGAGTGTCTTTCAAGCCACCAGGTCCGAGACTTGAACTGTGGTTGTCTATGTGGGAGTCCAGCACCTTAACCACCACACCACCACGCCATCTGCTGGCCCCCAGAATAGTCATCCTTTAATTAGATTTTTCTATGAATTTTTTTTTTTTTTTTTGGAGAGGTTTTTGCTATGGGGTGCATGTGCTCGTGAGACAGACAGTCTCGGGATCTTGGGTGCACACTCACATGCACACTCACATGCACACTCACATGCACCCAGCATGAGTTTAAGCCACTGGGTCTGGGACTCGAACCGTGGTTGACTACATGGGAGTCCAGCGGCATAGCCATTATGCCAACTGCTGGTCCCTCTATGAACTTTTTGAGGTCCCTTTGTATTTGTCGATTTAAAAGAAAAAGAAAAATTATTTAATTTTATTTGTTATTATTATTTTTTAATTTG